AGGGTGAGGGTGAGGGTGGGCCCGGGGGCGGGGCCTCGGAGTTATGGGGCTTTGAGCCCACTCATCATCCAACCTGGGTACCCCGAACCTGGAGCCTATGACAGACACCACACGTGCACACACACACACACACACACACACACACTCTGCTTCCTGATCAGCGAGTCTCCAGGATGGCTGGGTGTTCTAAGGGCGTCTCCCTCCCCCTCCCCCCAAGTGTGGGGGCTGCAGGGACACCTCAGTGGCTCCCTTCCAGGGGCGGGGACTGGGTCCTTCCTCCTTACACAGGCCCTGAGACACCGCAGCCCCTGAGCCCCTCCGGACCTGTCTCCCCACAGCCTCATCAACGCCGACTTCTGCGTGGGCTCTGTCTGCGTGGCCTTCGGGGCAATTCTGGGCAAAGTCAGCCCTGTCCAGCTGCTCATCATGACTCTCTTCCAAGTGACCCTGTTCTCAGTGAATGAGTTCATTCTCCTCAGCCTGCTCAATGTGAGCAGGGGTCGGAGTGGGGGTGAAGGTGGAGGGGACACTTGGGGAGACCGCAGAGGGGTAGTGAGAGAGAGGGCTGGGGAGACATGCCAGCTGGATTCTGTTCGACCTTGGCACGTCTCTTAACCCTCTGAACTCAGTTTCTAAAGTGGGAGCAGTGACACTTATTGGGCATGCGTACAGCCTGGGCTCAGGGACCCCCACCTTCTCCCCTCCCCAGTGCATTGGTCTGTGGGAGCCCCGGGCTCCTGAAGTCAGAGACAGCTGGGCATTGTCTGTGCGTGGCTTGGCGAGGGCGTGCGGGGGGGGAAAGAGGGGAGAGGACATCAGAGCGTGACTGGCCCCTTGTTCCCAAGGTGAAGGACGCAGGGGGCTCTCACAGTGACCTGGGTCCTCTACCGGCCCAACCTGTACCAGAGCAAGGCCAGACAGAGCGCTGTGTACCACTCGGACCTCTTTGCCATGATCGGTGAGGCTGTCACGGGGATTGAGGGCCCGCGTGATGCCTGAGGGCCGCCGCGGTCACACTGATCTCCACATGGCGGTCGCTGCCGGTTCCCCGTGGCGGGAGGGAAGGTGCTCACAGACCCTTCCAGAATCCCCGATGCTTTGGGCAGCCACCCTGTGTTTTCCCCAGGGGCTCCTGAAGTCAGAGACAGCTGGGCATTGTCTGTGCGTGGCTTGGCGAGGGCGTGCTGGGGGGGAAAGAGGGGAGAGGACATCAGAGCGTGACTGGCCCCTTGTTCTCAAGGTGAAGGACGCAGGGGGCTCCATGACCATCCACACATTCGGCGCCTACTTTGGGCTCACAGTGACCTGGGTCCTCTACCGGCCCAACCTGTACCAGAGCAAGGCCAGACAGAGCGCTGTGTACCACTCGGACCTCTTTGCCATGATCGGTGAGGCTGCCACAGGGATTGAGGGCCCGCGTGATGCCTGAGGGCCGCCGCGGGCACCACACTGATCACGCGGCGGTCGCTGCCGGTTCCCCGTGGGGGGAGGGAGGGTGCTCACGGACCCTTCCAGAATCCCTGATGCTTTGGGCAGCCACCCTGTGTTTTCCCCAGGCTGCCCCGGGGCCAACACTGGTTCCCATCCTGGGGCCAGGGCGGGGTGCTCCATCTCCTCCCTGTGCCCATTCATTCCAGAGAACACACATGTCCGCCACCCACTCTGGTCTCTTAAAACCTAGCCAGTGTGGCTCAGTGGATAGAGCGTCGGCCTGCGAACCCAAGGGTCCTGGGTTCGATTCCCGTCAAGGGCATGTACCTGTGTTGCAGGCTCCTCCCCCGCCCAGGCCCTCCTCAGAGCTCAGACAGGAGGCAACCAATCGATGTGTTTCTCTCACATCGATCTTTCTCTCTGTCTCTCTCCATCCTCTCTTCCACTCTCCTTAAAAATCAATAGAAAAATATATTCATGTGAGGATTAACAACAACAAATTGGGGGGTGTATAGCTTGGTTCCTTTTTCAGTAGTTGTTAATAGTTATCAATGTTGCCTTTCTACT